GGTGGCACCGAGCACCAGCTTCTGAAAGCTTCCTGGGGCAGATGGGGAGGAGGGGCCTTGTATACAGGGGGCGAAACTACCGGTGCGCCCCATCCTGAAATACCTCTGCTTTCACCAAGGGTGTCGTGCAAACGTGGGGGCACCTCTGATGCTTCCTCTCCTTCAACCAGGGAGGTTACTGGGAGCTCAGACGGGAGGAAGGCAGTGGGGGGCGGGGGGGCAGGCTCTCCCCCCCTCAGCACCACCACCCTGCACCTCAAAACCACAGGAGATGCTCAAGCTCAGACCCCACACTAAGATCTCCAAAAACACACAAAATCCTCTCTCTTCATCTACATAAGAGTTGTCCTTCCATTCCTAAGACTCTTTTGCATTTTGATTTAAAAAAAAAACAATAGCCCGGCCGGGCGTGGCTCAGGGGCTGAGCGTCGACCTAGGATCCAGGCGATCAGGGTTCGATTCCCGGTCAGGGCACATGCCCGGGTTGCAAGCTCTCATCATTGATGTTTCTATCTCTCTCTCTCTCCCTCTCCTTTCCTCTCTCTGAAATCAATAAAGATATATTTTTTTAAAAAAAAGTCTTTTTAAAAAAATTAAAAATAAAAAAACCCAGTAACCTGCTCTGCTTTTGCACCCTGCGCAGTTCCCCTAAAAGGGCCTGCCGGCTGCCACGGCCAAGGTAACAGACTGAGCGGGCCCAGCGGACACGCAAACCGGCCCCGACGAGCCGTGCTCCTCACTGAACTGGTCTCATTCTAAAGCTTCCTGCAGCTTTGCCGGCGCGGTAACTAGAGCCGAGAGAACACAGGCGGCTTTGTTTAGTGATTCTGGGGCCCGGAGCGGACGGTTCTGAACCGCAGCTCGCAGGGCACAGGCCACACACAGCGGGGCTGGAAAGGAGCCCGACCCGGGCCGACCGCCCGGGACTCCCGCAGTCACGGCCACCGCTGGGGGCGCCTCGTCCAGGGACCAGCCGCGCGGGGGGAGCCGGGGGACTCGCTTAACCGGAGGTTCCACCTGATCGGCTCCAGTTACACGAGGGTCCTTCAGCCCCCACTGAGCTCGGGCAGCAAGCAGGTGAAGA